TCTAAGTTTAAGTTTTTAAGATTTTGCAATATTGAGAATATTGTATTGAGAATATTGTTTTAAATTGTATTTACCACCTTAAGGCACTATAAGCGCATTTTTGCCTAGAGTGTTTTGGATTATAAAACCCCAAATTTTATGTTCTACATATTTAGATTCCTTTTATTCAAAGTTTTTCTTTTAAGTCTTATTAAGTTTTTAGTTTGTTTCTTCTATGTTTCTCTATATAAGTTTTCTAGTTTTGTTCCTTAACATAACAAATGTTTTCTTATTTTGCTCCTGCTACTATACTCCCAGTAGTTCAATTTATTTAAGTATTATTCTTTATTTTGTTTTTGTATGCGTCTATCATGGTAACAAAGCTGTTAAGCTAATATACATGCATAGTATAGTTTTTCCACTGACAAACAGATAAATGAGCATAAAGAAAAAAACTAAATAAAGCCAATGACACAATCAAATGTTGATAGAATAAAGTCTTTTAAGCTGCAGCTTTATTTATTCTTTTGTTTTCCTCAACATCTACGGTTGTGTACTGCTTAGAGGTTAAAAAAAACCAAAACATTTCAATAAAAAAAAATAACAAACTGTCATCAACATTCTCTATAGGAAATGTGCATCATAGATTATTGTTGAAAATGCAAAATATGTTGGAAGTTTTTTTTTATTAGTCGAGTTAAAATAATATTACAGTGGTATTAACTTGTTTTTAAATAAGAATGTAACACAAAGGGAAAGATTTAAGTTAATTATAAAACAGTTTTATATTCATACATACACATTTGAAATAAAGGTATTTATTTAATTAATATTTTTTTCAAGCAAAACTTTTCCATATAAAATCATAATGCAATAAAATTTTAATTACCAATTAAGGAAGTAATTTTTTGCAGCAAAAACTAATTAACGAAACGATTATGTGACGTATACGCTATATTTTAACTTTTTGTATTGAATATAAAGTATACGTATTTCATAGATTTTTATATAACACTAGCTATACCCAGTGTGCTTTGCTACCCTAAAAGGAATGTGTATAAATAAAAATCCCAATTAACGATTTTAAGATTCTAACTACAATAGTTCTCCAGATTTAAAATATGTTACATATGAGAGATGTCAAGCAAATTATTGCCAGGACGCCAGTTTCTATCTATCGCAAATTTCTATCTATCTATAAAAAATTTGAATAATATAAGAGTTTCCAAGATGCACGAAATTTTGTATTTAATTCATATATGTTGTGCCAAGCCACCCATTGAAAGTCCGCCCGTTATGCTCTAAATGTTCACATGAGTTTCAAAGTTCTTTATGTAAAATTTTAAGATTCTAGCTCTAATAGTTTCTCAGATATACGAATTTTTCTATTTGAGCCCCAGAAAGTTCGCTTTTATTCCTCCAAAATGTTCAGATGAATATTTAAGTTCTTTGTGCAAAATTTGAATAATTTAATTCCATTAGTTTTCCAGATAAACGAATTTTTGTCTTTAATTAATATGGGAGGTGCCGCTCCCCTCATGGGTAGTCCGCCAAATTATTACCCAAAATGTTTAGATGGATGTTAAAGTTATTCCTGCAAAATTTGAAGATTCTAATTATAATAGTTTCCAAGATAAACGTTTATTTGTATTTAATTTATATGGGAGGTGACACGCCCCCTAATGCTAGTCCGCCTACTTTTTTTCCTAAATAATAATATTGACACTAAAGTTGCTCCGACAAAATTTGAGGAGTCTAACTGTTATATTATCTAAAATATACGGATTTAATATTTTCTTAATATGGGCGTGGCTCCTCGCCCACTTGGAATTCCAAAATAAAAAGTAGCCTATTACCTATTCCAGACATACAGTAATACGATGTGAAAATTTTAATAAAATCGGTTCAGCCGTTTAGTAGTCTATAACGTTCAAACATACAAACATACAAACAAACACACATTCATTTTTATATATATAGATACATACCTACTTAGTTATTTCTTTTCGATAAAATTTAACATAGTAACAAGTAATATTGTTATATTCGGTTATGATGAATCTTATACACCTACTACTAATTTATAAGACGCTCCTGTTATATATTGTCATTAATATGAACATCTGGGTAATATTTGGTAGATGGCCTTTGATGGCTTAAGTCAAATTTTAGGTGAATATATCTCAAAGAAGATATTATATATAAAGTTTTCTAAAGTTGTCGCAGTTATAACGTCTCAAAAGGGGCCAAAAATTGCATTTTTCAAACTTCTAGGCACGTTTCACGATTCTTCAAAAAATCTTTTACTCTTAAGAAATTATTTGACGAAGTAATCGATGAAAACTAAAAGTATATTCGTATTTTATGGACTATAATTAAATGGAATTGGATTTGTATTGTGTAGCATTGTGTAAGTTTTGTATTTTTAGAAGGCATTCTTATAATTAACTAGCTATACCCAGTGCGCTTCGCTACCCTAAAAACCATAAAGTAAATTCATATTTACTTTTTACGGGAAACCCCAATCCCCTCATTTCTCTAGTTGGCAAACGGTGGCTCAGAAATGAATTTCTTCGACCAAAGTCAAATGTTTAGTTGGTCAAACTGGTCAAAATATTGATAATTATGGGCGTGGCATACTCCTAAAGACAAATATTTTATGACTATTTAAACTTTTTTATTTGAATGAAATTACTCATTAAATTTAAAGTATGCATCTGTTTACAAAATTATAATTGATATTATTTATTTTCTCAAAAAACAGTAGATTGTAGTATAACCGGTTCTAGTAGAACCAGTTGTGGAATTGATGAAGTAGGATCCTGTTTACAAAATGATCATGGGCATTACTTATTTTTGGGAAAAAACAATCGATTCTAGTAGAACTGCTTCTAAAAAAACAGGTTCTAGTATAACTTCCCGTGTAGAAGGGATAAATAGGGAAACTGTTCTATAGGTACCAGTTATAGAATTGTTAATCCTGGGTACTAACTTTATGTAAAAAAAACAACCGATTCGAGTGAAAACGGTTGCAAAAGAACCGAGTCTATTGGAACCTGTTATAGAATTTATGAAGTAGGATCCTGTTCGCAAGTTTGTTAGACAAATGTTTACACGAATGTCAAAATTGTTCGTGCAAAATTTGAGTATTCTAGCTCCAATAGCTTCCCCAATAAGCGAATTTTTATTTAATGCTTATGGGAGGGACCACGCCCCAGTGATCTGCCAATTTATTAGGCAAATACTAACATGGATGTCAAATTTTTTTTTTTTGCTTTTTTTGCATTCTAGCTCCAATAGTTTCCCCGATATACAAATTTAATTCATTTAATTCATATTTAATTCATATGGGTGGTAATACCCCATTGTCTAGTCCCCCCATATTTGAATTAAATATTCATATTGACACAAAAGTTTAGCGTACAAAATTTGGGAGCTGTAGCTTTTATGTCATTTAGTATTGGCTAGCAATATAGGCGTGGGATGTGCCACACCTACTATTGCTAGTTAGCCAAATTTTTCCTCCAGTATTCATATATGTATGTGTCAATGAACCAACCATCCGATTACATTACCCCACACACTAATTTTGATAGAGTTTTCAAAGTGAGATTTCCTTCCAGGAGTGAGTGGTGTAAGGGTAACCTACTGAGTGAATATACTATCAGAATCTTTACAGATAGTATATGTTGGGCACTACACGACCTCAATGTTCGGGCAACATAGGAATTTTTGTCGATAGTCAAGTGGTACTTCTCTCACTAAATTCTTATACTACCACTTCTCTATTAGTTAGACATTGCAAGAAGGATCTATCAAGGTTGGGTCGCCTGTCTGACATTACGCTTGTTTGGGTCCCTGCGCATAGGGACTATTATTGAAATGAACTGGCAGATGAGCTTGCAAGAACAGGATCTGCTCATGATATCTCCAACGCCGTTCCAGTAGCAACCCCGTTAGGTTTTATCAAGATTATATCTTCAAAAGGCTGAAAATAATTGGAATAACCTATAAACGCACAAGTCACCTTATAAACCGAAGTAGACGGTATACATATATGGAGATAAATAACAGTAATAACTGGATACTGGGTGCTAAGCAGACATGCAAGTAGGATTGTGGGCTACCCTTCAATGTACAATGTCGCATTTGCAAAGTAGGGAAAAGGAAGAAATGGTTTTCAATCTTCTCTGCGAATGCCCTGTTCTACGCGTGAAAAGAAACCGTTTTCTTGGCAGTTACTTCATATCTAACCTTGGTGAGATATCTGGATCTAAGCTTAATGATATCCTAAGATTTCTCACTGCTATAGGCTGGATCTAAAACTATAAAATACTTCATCTAACGGGTGGAGTGGTCTGATCAAAACGGAGTCACTTTGACTGTACTTGACAGTTCGCGTGTAGTGAACTACCACGTTAACCAACCAACCAACAACATATTTTCCTTCCAGGTATACAGAACACAGATTTTGAAAATTTCAAAAAACATGGTTCCTAACATGATATATTTTTGATGACTGATTTTCAAATTAAATTTTTATTCTCAAGGCTTCAAGTGTCTATCTATTCATAGTAATTTCTCTGAGTATACTGATCACGATTTGCAAAAAGTTGAAGCAGCAATACAGTTCCTCTGACAGATAATCCTTACGTAGAAGATATCGAACATAATTAGATAGGTATTGTAAAGTTCGAATATTATTGGATCAAGGCCCCGAATTAGACCTGTATTAAACATTAGTTGCCATTCAACGAGATTATGTAGTCTCATAATTTAAGCAAAGGTGTAGTTTTGGAATAAATCTAATGTAATACATGCATAGTCCTCTACATATGTGTTTGGATAAGTTTTGGATTAGCAATCTACATTCTTAGGAGGAGTACTACATTTTTGCAGCAAATTTAGATAAATCCGTTGCATATTTTTGGGCATCACCAAAAGATCAAACACTGTTAATGCCGAAATCTTAATCGAATCCCAAAAATAACCTTTTTTTCGTTAAATAATTAAAAACTATATTTTACAATAAAAACTAAAAGAAATATTTATTCAATTTTACTTAATTCTATTTTAATACCAATATTTAGTTTATAAACATTTCTTATATGGTTATTTGAACTGCATGTTTAATAATGTTATTTTGTATAAATTTTCTTATACAAACATTGGAAAACTGTCAACATTTCAATGGCTTCTTAATGTATGGCTTATAATCAAAAATACATAGGACTTAAGCTAGATTTTATATTAATACATTTATTTAATCCTAAACTACAGTTAACTAGTTATATGTAGTCATATAAAAGTAATATTTTATTCTTACCTAATAACATGCATATATGCAGAAAAATCAAGTTATTGGTAAAAAAAAAGAGAAACTAAAATAAATATATTTACAAAATCAAGTCATATTGTTACATGTGCAACCAATATTCATGTTGCAAAGCTAAAGATACTAAATCAACACCTGACAATTGATGATTTTTATATTTCTACACTTGTCTCTCATTTCTGTTGCAATTCTGTGCGTACCGTACCCGTAGATGATGAAGTGGCAGATGATGAAGATGCTGAATCCGATTGTATAGATGATGTCGATGACAATGAAGATGATGAAGTTATTGATGATGTTTTATTAGATGGAGACTTTGGTGTTGTCACATCATAACTTTGGCAATTACCAAAAGCGGAAGAAGTCAAAGTGGATGAAGGAGAAGGTGTTGTTGTTGTTGTCAATGTCGTTGCTTTAGTACAAGAAGCAGAATAATTTGATGATGTTGCTAATGAGGTCGATAATGTTGTTGGTGATGATAAAGCTGACGATAATACTTTTGTTGAGGATAATTCAGTTGTTGCGGTTGGTGGTGTTGTTGTTGTTAAAGTTTGTTTGTTTTCTACTATCAATATGTTAGGTGTCATTGTTGTTGCCTTGGGTATTATATTTGCATTTGTTTTATCAATATTGCTAGTTTGTTGTTGCATGGTGGCTACATTTGCATTTCTATGTAATTGTGGTATACGTGTTGTTGTTGTTTGTGGTAGCATTGCTGCTGTTGCTGCTGTATTTATATCAGGTGTTTGTAAAGTTTCTCTAGATGACACTTGATTGTCATTTGGTACCTTTGGCAAAACCTGACAGCAATTAGTTGTATCTTTACAATTGTTAGTAACAGCATCGCTGGAAGAGGCCTGAGAATACACCATACCATGATTCTCATTTATACTGGAATGTAATAGACTTGTGTTAGATGATGTTGTTGCCACTAGTGGTACTGCTGCATTTGGTACTATACGTGGTATATGAGACTTTTTAGGTTGAGCATAAACAATTCCTGATGGTAGTGCCGCATACGAGTCATTTATCATGGCCATAGGCGTTGCTGTAGGTGTATAATAGATGGTAGGTGTTGTAGGTTCTGAGTTACAACATGTAAGCTGATGTTGGGCATTTGTTTGGGGTGCTTGTATGCAATAGACCCTTTCCGTAAGATGTGCTGTAACTTCTCTTTCGGGTGTCTTATAGTAAGGTGGTTTAGATTCAAATGATTGAAATACTGATTGTTGTTGCTGCTGTTGGTTTGCTAGTGGTGCTGGAGCTACTGCTGTTGCTGCTGTTGATGGAATATGGTAATTTTCTGTTTGTGTATCTGTGTTAGTTGGCTTATTCTGTCTTCTCAAGGTTGAGTAATAACCCTCAGTGGGTTTTAATGAACCCACTATTAAAGTGTTTTGTGTAATTTCTGGCTCCTCTTCTTCCTCTTCGGCATAGTCATGTGCCACCATTAGAGGTGAGGTGGTAATATTGTTACTATTTCTTCTACCAATTGAAGGTTTTCGTCCTAAGGTGGCTATGGTGCGAGGTGGTGGCAAGGGTGGTTGTTGTTTGCTGTGAGCAAAGTGTGGAAAGTAAGAATTTGGTGGTAATGAATTACGCTTATAAGTAGTGCTTAAATCTTTAGTCATGGGTGGCGAATCTGTTTCTCTTTCGTGTTGCATATAAGTGGGCAAAACTTTGGGATATTTTCTTCTTTTTATAACATTTAACTGTTGTTCGGCTGTTAAGGCCTCGGCGGGTACATCATAGTCATCTTCTCTGCTGGTTACGTTTATATCCTGTAAATCATTGTCCTCGTTTGATATAAAACTGGTGATTTTTTCATTTTGATTATAGTACATTTCTACGGGATCAGAACGTGAATGTTGATGCATAGGCTGTATCAGTTCTGTCTCACAGGCTTCAGTTGCTGCCGAATGTTGGCGCATTAAAGTGTAACGGCTATTGTCTAAAGAATCTTGAGGCGTTAGAAGTTCTTGATCCTCCACCTCTATATCTTGACATATGATAATATTACGGCCATCCTGTTTCATTTTTGTCACCTCTATGGGCTCCTGCTCCAGGACGCTGCTGCCTCTTCCCTCTGGTGTAGCATCGATGGCTACACTTACTTTGCAGGGTTGAGGTTTGCCAAAAGAGCCACTGCCTCTTAGAGAACTAGAGAATGAAGAAGACTTTTTCGAATTTCTGCCACTACTAGGTCTTCTCTGCAAAGTGGCCTGTTTGTGAGGCTCAGTGGTGGTTATCCACTCACTTACTTTCGTATGAGTATCCACCGTTGAACAGCTTAATTGTCTGGTTATTTTAAAACCATTAATAGGTGATCTTTCTGTCTTAACCTGTTCATAAGTATTCGATTTTCTCATGGTATCCATTATAAAACTATCATCACCATCATCTCCATGCTGAGTGGTATTTGTCTTAGATCTTTTCAGATCATCATCGGTGGTGCCATCGTAGGTTAAAATGCCACCACCCAATTTACGCTGTAAAGTTTTGGTTTTCTTTTTCTTTTGCATCAGGAAAGTGGAATAAATGATGACATTCAAAATGATGAATACAATAATTAAGCCGATTAATAAATGTAAAGTGGTTTCTGATTTGGCCACATGTTCATTATTGTCAGCTTCATCCCCCGATGGCTTGTTATCCTCATTTACATAATTGCCATTGTTTATCTTACTGCTAGTACTGCTGCTGCTGCTGCCTTCATAGTATTTTTTATCCCAACCAACACCTTGTGCTTTAGCACTACTGCCGCCACCACTACTGATATATGTGTCAAATTGTTTTGAGCCATAAATGGTATTATAGGGAGAACGTGTAGTATAAGCCGTCTTGGTGCTATAACCATTATAACGTATTTCATAGCCTTGAGCTTTTACTTCATCATTATTATCATCATCAAAACTACTTCCTTGTACATTGCCACCTGCCATTACTATACCTTTATATTGCGTAGACGGTGGTGCATTATACATATTCTCCGCTTGTGTCTCTTTGCCACTTGCATACGGTTCTTGCAGCAATAGTTTTAATGTTCTAACCGGATCTTCAGCACCATTATCACGTGTACCAAATTTATTCATATGACCGGTTATTACATCTAGTTTTGAGCCATAACGTTTGGGATAAATTGCTGTAGTTCCGCTTGCAACATTTCCATTTTCATAGTTATTGTTACTGTTGCTATTGTAATTGTTAGTTTGTAAAAATGGCTGCTGTTGTATTTGTGCAATTTGATTGAGTTCATCGGGTAATTCTTTATTCCAAAAATTCATATAGACTTGTCGATATTTATAACCAACAGACGGTGGTATCCCTGTTCGCAAGGAGAAGGGGAAAAGTAGAATTTTAGTTTTTTTTATATTTTAGTGAAATATGATTTTATAAAATATTGAGATATTTCGTGTTAGTAGTTCTTTTTTTTAGAAAATTCAATAAAATAGCATTCTTCTCTTTTGAAGTCTGCTAAAATATGCTTTACATTATTGATAAAGGATTCCTTGGATAGTTGTACTTTTACTATACTTAAATATTTAAAGTTTTTGTTATGATTCTAAGAAATTGACTGCATAATAATTAAATATTAATACAGATTTTTAAAAATATTCGTATTTGTGCTCAAAAATACTGAATGTATTCATAAGAATACCATATAGAGAAAAGGATATGTACATATTCTTTTCATTCTAACCTTAAATATTTCTCAAATAACAGGAATCATGTGTTAGGACTTATCACATACACTTCTTGGAATCTACGGAAACTTGCTTCCAATAACTACTCTGTTTGATAGTTTTAAGAATTTTTCTTACATATGAAAATATGTACTTATAATAAAGTCGTATTCCCAGAAGGTAAATATTTTTTAAATAAATACTCATTTGATTAAACATGTCCTTTTTGGACACATTATATTTGTTTAATAAAGATGTTTACGACTAAATAAATATGTTAGTTTTAACCCTTTTCAAGCAATTACTCTTAGAAAAGAGAATGTAACTCATACTATGGATAAATATATATTTCGCATGAGTTGAATAAGTTATGTAAGCATATGATATATAACTAATGAAACTTAATATTGTCAAATCACTATACTGGTACTCTGCAAAAATTATTGGAGTACATCTATTAATGTAATTCAAAAACTTCTTCCCTATAAACATTATTGGAGTACACGATTCGTTATGTAGTACCATGTAATGCAGACATATATCATGCTTACTTTTCTTAAACAAAATAGTCATTACATGAGACCGTGTTGCGAGTGTGGATCATGTGCTCCCATAATTTTAGCAAGGGAGTAGTTTTGGGATTATTTACTTTATGAATCTGGGAGTCACTTTATGAGGGTTTGTTCGAAATTTCAGACTGACGTTGCCCATTTTCAACATTGAACAAACATAAAATAATTTTTAACAGCGGATGGACAGACATGGCTAGATCACCAGAGATTCTTATAAATATCTACAGTAAACATAAATTTTGTGAGTATAAGAATGATGTTTCTTTGTATTATAAACTACAATTATAATTACACAGCAAAATATAAAAAAATACTTCGAAAAGAATAGCTTTATATTAGCTTCTGTGGAAGTGATGTTTAATAACTTCCAATGAAATTTTTATGAGTTTAAAAATGTTGAATGTATGTAATGCTATTTTTTCTCTTAATATTATTTTTTACTTCCAAATCACTTCCAAAAAAATACATAAAAGTGACTTCTTGAGCACAACTTAAGAAATAGTGAAATTGGAATCATAACAAGTTCGGCTTGGCCGAATCTTAAATACCCTCCATCCGTAAGCTACTTTTTATGAAAACCCATATAATTGGATTAAAATATTCCGTGATGAGGGTGCTATCATTTAGAAATCACTTATTAGTTGCATTATACATCTATGGAATTAACTTTGATCAAGTATAAACGTCTATGAAAGATATGACCAATTTCGCAGAATGATGAAGTGACTTAAGAAAGTGGATCTTATATTAGAGTTTTGAGCTATTATGGACTGATCCAAACATTTTTCAGAATGATTTATATATACAAAAAATATATTAGCGATATTTTTTTTTGTCAATGAAATATGTGAGTTAAAGTAATTTTCGGCAGTGGACCGTATATCGGAGACTTGAAAAATTATGGGTCTATCCAGAAACAAAATTGAGAGTGATTTGTATATGTAAAGAACTTATTTATGCGGAATTTTAGTCCGATATCTTTATTTATCAATGAAATATGCGATTTTCGGAAGTGGATCTCTTATATGGGATCTATGACCAATTATTGACCGATTCGGGAAATATTTCTTAGAGTGGTTTATATCTACTTTAAACACATTCATTACGAATTTTATACCGATATCATTCAGTAATGAAAAATGTCCGTTACGTAGTTATCGGAAGTGGTCCTTATATAAGAGCTATGTCCAATTGTGGAACTGATCCGGAAAAAAATTAGTAGATTCGTATATGTATACATAAAACACTTTTTATGTTGAATATAATTCCAATATCTTTAATATCACCTATGTGCATTTAGGTGATTTTCGGAAGTGCACCTTATATGGGAGCTATGCCCAATTATGGACCGATCCGAAAAAATTTTAGTAGAGTCTTATATTTATTTCTTAATTAGTTATGTGCATTTAAGTGGATTTCGGTAGTGGGCCTTATACGGAAGCTATTACCAATTATGGACCGTTCCGGAAAATATTTCTCAGGGTGGATTATATGTACTTTAAAACATATTCATGACGAATTTTTTACCTATATCTTCATTCAGTAATGAAAAATGTTTGTTTACGTGGTTATCGGAAGTGGGCCTTATATGGGAGTTATAACAAATTATGGACCGATCCAAAAAAATGTAGTAAAGTCGTATATCTAATATCTTAATTTCTTAATTAGTTATGTGCATTTAAGTGATTTTCGGAAGTGGACCTTGTATGGGAGCTATGACAAATTATGTACCGATACACATCTAAGTTCGTAATATGATTTCTGTTTATATTATATACATATATGAAAAATTTGTTGGTGGTTTTAACAATAAATCTATTTCCGAGAACATGTACCTTTTTATGGGGGCTATAGGAAATTTTAGATCGATTGTATTTATTTTAAACATATAAATTTTAAACGATAAATAGGAAAAAAACGTAATTTATTTCGAGGTAGTCTGAAATTTTTACTCCTAACTTTTTACATTGTGAATAGATTTTACTGATTTTGAATACCAAACTGCTTAGGACAACAATGAATATTTTCCGTGAATTTAATTTACTTCCTTTGCTTAGTTTTAACGTGAGCATGTTTTAGGCTGACAGATAGACGGACATAGCTAAATCGACTCAGAATTTGATAAGTACCCGGAATATATATACTTTGTTGGGTCTCAGATGAATATTTCTTAGTGTTACACACGGAATGACAAACTTATCACAATGATGGTGGTGGGAGGGAATAATAGAGCATCACTTCTAAGAAAAGCTAGTGTTAAAATCATTGCTTCTGCCGGTCTTTTTCAGTTTTTCAGTTTTTCATGGAGTAAATTCGACTACTTTTTCGCTTTTTTGGAAGTTCTTTTTTTCTAGGTTACTATGGTTGATAATCACCTTTTTGTATAAAAAAACAAAGGGTTTTAATATACTATTAACTTTAATATTCATTTTTGAAAATGGGAAAATGACTTATTCAAATAACTTGAATTGTATACCATATTTTTCCAAACAAAGAATCCCTTATTATGAAATATTTTTTCTATTGTTTATTTAGTTATAGATTTTTCTTACATATTTACATATTTTGTTTTTTCTTACCAATATTCATGTATGCCTGAGAACGTTTATTAAATTCCGGCCATTCCAAGTCATAACGATCCCATTCTAAGGCATGCAAATTAATAAAATTACCCTTCCAAGGAGCCTTAGGATTGCTAAAAATAAATAAAATAATTTTTGACATATTAAATCATATTTGCTTGAATTCCCAATATGTATTAGGCTAAAATTTAAAATCATACTTATAAATATATACAAACATTTAAACAAATATTAATTTTAACTAAATTGCCACACATAAACATGAATATAAAATTCAGTTGAAATTATATAGATAATTGAAAGAAATTGAGGAAATAATCTTTTTCATGAGAAATACTAAATTCTATAAAAAGAAATGAATAGAAGGTAAAGAGTGGTAATAGAGGGAAATAAAAATTCAATTTATATTTTTAACAAACTTTAAGAAGTTCGTTCTTTAGTAGTGATGGAATTGCCATAACTACGCGCCATCATTGACATACTGTAAACAGACAAACTGTTTGAAAGAAATCATACAACTGTCATGAAAACAAATAACTGAATGAAAGTTTAGCTTAAACTACTGCACAACTATGTCTGTTAGCACTGCTACCAACAGACTAACTGCCACAGCCACTACTGCCACTACCATGACATTATTGTTATTATTTGTAAATTTTCTTTTGTGCTTCTATTTTTTTTTTTTTTAGATTTCCTTAACTTCTTGCAGCTTTAGAACTTTTAACTTGATAGTTATTTGGTAGTATGTCTAAAGCAAATAGGATAAAAATATAAAATCTATTTGTATCTTCAAACAAACACTTTAAAGTGTCTTCTAAAGCAAAATAAAAGAAGAAAATGAACTAAAAAGAATCATAGAAAAAATTCAAAATCTGTTGGTATATAATCATAATAATAATAATGATTATAGTGTAACGTGGTATTACTTTTCAAAGACTAACAAACCTAAAAAAAACTCTATCACTACTTAGCTTCTTCACACACACACACACTTTCTCTACTTACTTGTATGAAATGACAAGAATTTGTAAAATTTTCCTAGTAAGTATAGCTTTTTGCTTTATTTAATTTAATATTCATGCAAACTGAAAATCAAATAAAATGCTTACCCTGTCTTGGCAAAATTACACCAGTATGACATAACAGCTTCGGCTAAAAGTTTTTCTTGTGCTGTATACTGAGTACCATGGAAAAGACCAGCGGATGCTAATGGTGCACCAAATACAAAGGCCACTCTTCACCCGCTATACTATGTGGCAACTGCAATGAAAAGAGATTGAAGAAAAAATATATATATATATTTAATATATAAAATACACAGTCAATTTTTGTTCATAGTAGCAATGTTATTATTATTTTTATTTGTAATTGGTTCCATAATCGTTACTTACTTGCCATTACAATAGTTGAATGTCATTTTTATTTTCAATACTGAAAAATGAAATTTAACCAAATTACTTAAGAATATCAAAACTCTTTGGTAACGAATAAAATTAAAAATATTCCGGTA